CATACATACGTATACATAGTATATATACATATAGTATATATATATATACAGTAACATTTAAAATGTATTTATGCAGAGCTTACTATTAGGACTAAAGTACTCGGAACTGAGTTGGGAAATGGCGAAGCCTTCGGACGAGAACAATCTGGATTGTTTGCCCTGCTTATTCCTGCAATTTCCGGTTCGCGAGAATGGAGCGCGAGTTTATAAAATCCTGCAAGTGTTCTCGAAACAGGTATATTTCCGAAAACAAGACACATTCCAATATATCGTATTGTAACACATGCCAATAAATCGTATATTTTTTCATAGTTTTTCATTAAATAATAAAATATCATAAAGGATAATGCGCGTTTCAGGCGATAATGATGGATACCTTAATTTCCGGTTTTGCTGACGATCATCGTCTGCGTCAACTTGCCGGTAGCGAGGGTAACAATGAGCAGTTGTTGGATCACCCGTTAACTATGGCCACTGGAAGCTTCACAAACAAACTGAGCAAGTTCACCCTGGCCACTTTCGACGATGAAGGTAAAGATAAACGTGAGGAGAAACAAAAATATAAGATATGATCGTGTCGTTGCGTTTACATTTTAAAATCATTTCAGGTCGTTGCATCGGTCAGATGGGCTCATGGTCTTTTCAATGAATATTTAATGACACATATATTAAAAAAAGAGATTGGTTAAAACGAATTAAATCGCTGGAACAAATTTGGTTACATCAACTCATCAATCAAATCAAATTGAATAAGAATGAAGTCTGTTCAACAATATGATGTAACAATTTTGACTAAAAAATTTAATCAAAAGTTAAAGATTAATACAACAATAATGTTATATGGACTATAAATGTTTTTTCAACTACAAAAAAAGTTAATTTAACTTGATAATATGAGTAATTCTATTTCTGGATGAAAGTTTAAGTAAATCAGACAATAAGTACATAAAACTAATGATTTTAATTATTTTACGGTTAATTTATTGACTATCAGGAGAAAAGAATAGTTTTCGGAGCATTTTACAAGTATGCTTAAGTGACCAGAAGTGTTCTTTCATACAAATATCTTTTTATGTAAAAATGTCACATAAAAATATTGGGTATATGTTTTCTCTTTTCCCCAATTAGAAGCCAATATTTTTAAAATGTTTTTTTTTTCATTTATTATTCATTTTATAAACTCATTATTAAAAAAAAATATTTATATAACAATCATTTAATATTTTTTTATTAAATATTTTTTTGGGTAATTATCGACTATAACGGAGCACCCTCCAATGACCTCCACCTTGATATATATTATCAAGGACACTGTCCTGAGTGACAATCAAAAGGTTTTAGCCGGCGCTCATTGGTTGTTAAAAAATTATTAGCAAAAAAGTTTCATATAATGAATATAATTTTTGGACACCGTATATAAATAAAAAACCGAATTTATAACTTAACAGGATGCCTACACACACACACACACACACACACACACACACACACACACACACACACACACACACACACACACACACACACACACACACACACACACACACACACACACACACACACACACACACACACACACACACACACACACACACACACACACACACACACACACACACACACACACACACACACACACACACACACACACACACACACACACACACACACACACACACACACACACACACACACACACACACACACACACACACACACACACACACACACACACACACACACACACACACACACACACACACACACACACACACACACACACACACACACACACACACACACACACACACACACACACACACACACACACACACACACACACACACACACACACACACACACACACACACACACACACACACACACACACACACACACACACACACACACACACACACACACACACACACACACACACACACACACACACACACACACACACACACACACACACACACACACACACACACACACACACACACACACACACACACACACACACACACACACACACACACACACACACACACACACACACACACACACACACACACACACAGCACCTAACGCGCGTTCGCGCGCCCGCCCGCCTGCTACACATACATAACTTATAATATCTTGTTATGTCTATGTTAGCACGCCCAAACCACGTTCCTGCTAGATGTTCAGTTTCATATATACTTATGTGTAAACATCTGTCCTGAATATTCCTCACTTGTTGTTGAGACATGGCCTAGTGTAGCATCTCTTATACTTTCATATAAAATGTTGTTTCATGAATTTTTACATCTGACACATAATTATGAAGCATTAATTACATATTTAAGTGAAAAAAAAGTTATTCGAAACCGAATAAAATGTCCACGGTGCGCTACTATTATAGAGATGAATGTAGAAAATTCACAACATCTCATTCTACATTGCACAAATACATATTACAAACAATTACGTGGTAAAAAACGGAAACGACAAATATGTAATTTTAAAATTAGTGCCTTAACAGGAACGTGGTTTGCACGTGCTAACATAGACATAACAAAAATATGCCGTAAGTACTACAATCTTGAACGACTAGCGGAAGGGGGAGGGTGCGCCCCCCGCTAGTTGTTCGATATTGCAGTTATTATTCGATAATGCTCGTTAACATTCGGTACACAGTATCGAAAAACTGAAATATATTTTTCAAACTTCTTTCATCAATAACTTTTTATAAAACAATGAGCGTCGGCTAAAACCTTTTGATTGTCACTCAAGACAGTGTGATAATATATATCAAGGTCGAGGTCATTACAGGGTGCTTATAATCGATAATTACCCATTAATTTATTATTTGTAATATCGGAAGTTCGGAAGAGACAATTTGTGTCACGGTTATCTTCGAGACGTGTTCGAGCGCCTGTCGTAGTCTTCCCACGTACGCTCGGAAACGGTGGCGGCGTGGACAGGTCCGTACGCGACGGATGATTAGTGTCGGTACGCGGCGGTCGGTCCCGGCGCGGACGGTCTCGCGGCGGGTTTATGCGGTGGCGATCGGGTAGGTGGGTTGCCCTGGATGAAGGCGACGTCGGGTAAGGAGGCGCGCGAGAGAATCCAGCGGGTGGAGGCTTAAAGCTGAGGGCAGAGACGGTAAGCTCTATATCCCTCGGTTGCTGGAACGTTTCGACTAGTGATGCGGCCTTGAAGACAGATGAGCGCACTTTTACACGTGGTCGTGTCCCTAGGAGGCAGGGAAATCAACAGCGCTTGACCGAAGCGGTCAGCGGGCTACCTCTTGTTCCCAAACGGGGTGCGTGTTCGACGGAAGGGAACCGCTAACCTCCCTCGAACGACTAGCGGAGTTGAGCGACGAATACGGATACCCCGGCGACTACCTGCTAAGAGGACTACCGTAGCTACTAAAGGCGACAGCCGGAATCGCCGAGATGAGTGGGCCGACTGGGAGGACTTCGATCGCGCCTTTCGTAGACAGTACCTGTGTTCGAAATTGAAGCGACCCGATCCTGAGATCTACAATTAGAAGATTCTCGAATGCGAAATCACGTGTCCGACGTGTGAACTCGGACAAAGTCGTCGCTGTCGCGAGAATAACCGTACGCTCAGTTCTTGATCTTTCCAGCATGATTTAATCTAGTTTGAAATTCACACAAACAAATAAACAAGGAAGAAGACTAAACGGTTACGATCGCGAGCGATGATTGCCTGTCCAAAATTCTATTGGTTCTAAGAACCGCAACGATCTCGGGGGAAGGTATCAGTGAATCACAGCTAACCACGAGAAATTGAAAAGATAAGTGTCATCGTCCTCTCGCAAGGACAAAGCGTCTATAAAAGCAACATCTCGGGGAGTCAAGTCAGTCCGGCTGTCGAGTTATAGTTGAATAAGCGAGCGAATCTGCAAGTCGAGCAGAACTCAAGTGCCATCGCAGCAAGTCGAGCTGCCTTAAAATGAAACGCTATCCTTCTTGAACCCTTTGTCAGAACCAGCGTTCACTCGGTCCTCGGTCTCTCTTTGACCGCCTCAAACTTGACTCCCTGATCCCTTAGCTACATCCGGTTGCGCCGCCGACGGACTAGGTCCGCCGAATCATTCTTTCAGTGTACATCAGTTATTTATGATTAAAAATTTGTTAAGATAAGCTCAATTCGAATACAGTACTCTCAGTTCTTCATTCTAACCAACCCCCTCATCTCCTGTGGCATACTTCCTACTCCTTGCTCTACTTTGAGCGGACCAGCGACCAAGCGATCACGTCGCGATCGCTTACTCGTGACTGCTACATAAAAGATTTGGTCCTTCGAGCCGGATTGATCACAGAGGAAAATTTGCCATCATGGCAGATGTAATGGAGAAGCAACTAAGGCTGCACGGTGCAGTACAGCGATTTCTTGACAATGTTAAGAAAATCGGACAAAGCAACCTGACCGCGGCGAAGCTGCGCTCTCGCATTACCGCGTTGAAGGAGCTGTGGTTGCTGTACCAAGACGGGCACTATCACCTGGCGAGAATCACCTCTACTACCGAGCAAAAGTCCCTCGACTACTTCAAGGACTCCTATTACGAAGCGGCCGAGGACATCTTCCACGATACTCTGGATCAGCTAACCGAGCGCCTGGAGGAGTTTGATCCTGTCGTGAGTCCAAATCAATCATTTTCCGACGGTGTCTCGCGAGCGGATGCGGCAGCGGTAGCGTTTCCGGTTTTGCCCGCTATACAATTACCAAGCTTTTCCGGTGACTATTCCGATTGAGAGCATTTTCGCGACCGTTTTACCACGCTAATCTGCGAGAACAAAGAGCTCACGAACTATTCGCGAATGCATTATCTTGTCTCTTGCTTGAAGGGTCGCGCACTCGACTGTATCTCCGATCTGGCGATCACCTCAGATAATTTTGTAATCGCATGGCACACCTTAACGGCACGATTTGAAAAGATTCAACGTCTTGTACATTTTCATCTCGACGCATTGTTAAATTTACCGCCTGTCCGGCATGAGCAAGTCTCGGAGTTACAATTCCTTCTGGATCAGGCGCGTAAAAGCGTAGCGGCTCTGACAAATTTAAATCGTACACCGGAATCTTTGTGGAATGATATGATAGTGCACGTCATTGTGAAAAAACTTGACCCAATAAAATATAGAAAAGCGTGGAATTTAAAGGAGAGTTGCGACGACACTCCGCCCTCCTATGAACAGCTTGTGCGTTTTCTATCACAAAGATCCAGCGCTCTTGAGTACGATACAGGGACCGCTCCCTGTAAACCTTCAACGAACTCCGGAAGATCTTCTCGCGTTCACGCCACCACCGCATCTGCCGCTTCAAATCCGCCGTACCCGTTGTGCAAAAGGGAACACTTTCTGTACACGTGCTCTGCTTTCGTTAGCAAAACCCATTGTGAGCGTTGAAGTTTTATTCAGATACAAAAAAGATGTTTTAATTGCCTTAGCGCGAAACATTCCGTAAAGGATTGCCAGAGCAAATTCTCATATCGTGTGTATAAAAAAAGGCATTACTCGCTTCTGCATAATTCTTCGGACGACCAGATAAGACCGATAGAAATTAAGCCGTTAAGCAGCTCGTCCTCTCAAACCGAGCAAAATTCCGCGCCGATCCACGAGGCGAACGCGTTTCTCGCTTCAACTCCGTCGCGACCACGTTCGCAAGTACTTCTCGCGACAGCGTAGGTAAGGGTCGAGTCCGCGGGAGCGGTGCACTTGAACATGGTGCATTTGGACACAGCCAATCACAGCACCGTGTGATTAGAGACATTTGTAGGGTCCCTTGGAACAGCGATTTGTGATTGGACTGTGTCCAATTGCCCCGTGTCCAACTGATATACACCCCGAGTCCGCTGGTCGTACAGTCGTGGCTCGAGCACTGCTCGATCAAGGCTTCGAGAGGATATTTATTAACAAATCCTTAGCTCAAAACTTGCGAGTTAAACGAGAGCGCGCTCAGGTTTCCGTTTCCGGGGTCGGAGGTGCAAGCGTGGGTATCGTTCGGTCGGCCTCTTCGATAAACATCTACCCGCGCCTCTTCCCTAACCCAAAGTTCAACACAACCGCACTTATATTACGATCGTTGACCGCGTATCATCCCCGTCGAGCAGGTGACATCTCGTCCTTCGCTCATCTCGCCGATCTCGAGTTAGCCGACGCCTTTCCTTTCAGTCCTGATCCTATATCCCTTATCATCGAAGCGGATTTGTATTCTGATATAATTTTAGAAGGCATACGAAAGGGAAAGTCAGGCCAGCCGATAGCGCAAAATTCTTCTCTAGGCTGGATCATATCCGGGCTCATCAATTCCACACACCATGATTCGGTGATCTCATCCGTCGCAGCTAGACGCGACTCGCCGACAATGTCACTCAAATCGAGAGAAAATGATTCGCTTAAATCAAGCTCCAATAACCATATCGTCAGTTTTCTATCTCTCGCTCACGAAATTCGGCGCTTTTGGGAGTCAGAAGAGATATCAAATGAAATACTGTTGAGCGCCGAAGACGAAAGGTACGAGAAACATTTTCGTGATACGCATACTCGCGATAAGACCGATCGGTACATCGTTCGGCTTCCCTTTAAACAAGAGCCGCTTATCGATATCGGAGAGTCTAAGTCTAGAGCCGAAAAATTGCTGAATTCGCTGCGTCGTAAATTAACAGTTTCCCCCGCATCCGAAAAATCATACCGCGAATTTATGACCGAGTACGAAACTCTCGGCCATGCGACTTGCTCTGACCTTTAAATCGAGGAACTGTCAGGCTATTTACCTTCCTCATCACGCAGTGATCCGCGATAGCAGCACGACAACACGCCTTCGCGTTGTGTTCGGGTGTATATCAGTTGAACACGGGGCAATTGGACACAGTCCAATTACAAGTCGCTGTTCCAAGGGACCTTACAAATCTCTCTAATCACACGGTGCTGTGATTGGCTGTGTCCAAATGCACCGTGTCCAAGTGCACCGCTCCCTTGTGTTCAACGCGTCAAGCATAACATCTAACGATTCGACATTAAATGATCATTTATTGTCTGGGCCAAAATTACAGACCGACATCGTGTCGGTTCTATTACACTGGCGACAGCATCGGTACGTTTATGCCGCGGACATTGCCAAAATGTATCGACAAATTCGTGTCGATCATCGCGATTTAGATTATCAGCGCATCCTCTGGTTCAAATCCCAAACCGCGGAAATTCAAGAGTTTCAATTGTTCACTGTTACATACGGTATGGCTTGCGCGCCGTTTCTCGCTCTCCGCGTGTTAAAGCAGCTCGTACAGATGAAGGCGCACGATTCCCCCTCGCCGTTCCTGTTATGGCTCACAATATTTACATTGACGATTTGCTTTTCGGCGACGACGACATACAGCGAATCGGTCAAACGCGCGATCAACTGCGTTCGTTGTTACATTGCGGCGGATTCGAGCTGAAAAAGTGGGCGAGTAACTCCGCTGCGCTTCTCGCTGATATCGATAAAACCGAGCACGGCATTGCACGCGATAAACTTTTAAAACCCGACGCTCGGGTCAACATTCTGGGGATCAATTGGAATCCCATCCGCGACGCGTTTGTGTTTAATGTCTATTTAAACGACAAATTTCCAAGTAACAAATGCGCCATTCTATCGGCAATCGCTAAGCTCTACGACCCGTTGGGATGGGTAACCCCTGTCGTCATTTCTGCAAAAATATTCATGCAAAGCCTATGGCACGCGAATCTTACTTGGGATAAAACCCTCCCTACGGAATTATGCGCCGCCTGGCAATCAAATTTATTCGACACTTGCGAGTCTCCACGGATTGCAAGTCGCGCGCTGGACCGGGCTCACCTCAACTTGGAGTAGCACCGAACTGCACGGATTCGCTGATGTGTCAAATCATGCCTATGCCACCTTCGTCTATCCCAAGGTCGGGTCGGATTCGGGCGACGTCTCCATAATCTTAATGGGAAAATCGCGAGTAGCACCCGTGAGACTGATGAGCATTCCGCGATTAGAATTATCAACTGCTATATTACTCGCGCGTCTTCTGTCCTTCATTCGTAAAACTCTCGGACTTGCGGAATCCTTTCTGTTGGACGGATTCAACTATCGTGCTAGCTTGGGTGACTCAAAATCCGCGACGATGGGAAACCTTCGTGACGAACCGAGTCACGGAGATTCAGTCACTGATGCCCGATGCCGAATGACGCCACGTTGACACTTCCGAGAATCTTGCGGATTGTGCATCACGCGGATTAACCGGCACTGCCATTCTTGGTGGAAGGGACCGACATGGTTACGGTTCGACGAAACCCGTTGGCCTCCTAAAAGAATCTTCCTTCCATCCGACGCTCCTCCGAACGAGACAGCGAGTGCCTTAGTCTGCCTTAAAACAACCGAGCCAGACAAGCTGGGAAATCGCTTTTCGTCCTGGCCCAGACTTCTGCGCGTTACATATTTCGCTTTGCTTCTCACTGCCGGCGCAGACAAAACCAAGCTCAGGGCTCAAACGGGCTCGCGCTTTCCGTTCAAGAAATTCATTTCTCAAAATTATTCTGGATCAAACGGATTCAATTAGAGCTATTCTCACAAGAAATTCGTCAGCTCGTCGAAAACCAGACCCTTTCATCAAAAAGCTCTATTTTGGCATTGCATCCATTTGTAGATCATGACGGAATTTTGCGGGTGGGCGGACGAATCAGGAAAGCTCTGCTCCTGTTCCTTGTTCGCCATCCAATCCTCCTTGCGTCACACCCTCTCGTCCGTCTTATCATAAACCAAGCGCATTATCGGGGCTTGCACGCCGGCACCCAACTCACTCTCAACATATTGCGTCGCAAATTTTGGATTGTTAAAGCGCGAAGCATCGTTAAATCCATAATCCATCATTGCGTCGTCTGCGTTCGCGAGCGAGCAGCTATACCAAGTCAACTCATGAGAAACCTTCCCGAATATCGCGTCTCGCCATCGCTTCGATGCTTCTTCACTGCGGAGTGGACTACGCCGGACCAGTACTCGTGCGAGCCTCCGCGGGACGAGGAATGCGAGCTCGAAAAACATACATCGCTCTTTTCGTCTGTCTTGCTACTCAGGCGACTCATTTAGAGTTAGTAAGCGATTATTCTACGCCAGCATTTCTTAATGCGTATACGCGATTTTG